GGGGTCGTCCGTAGGTGGATTTTTGACGCGGGTCTTACCCCGTGTTGAGATTGCGCTGGAACCCCCATTCCCTATACTACTTAGGAGAGAATAATTGTGCCAAGTCACCCAGCTGCATCAGCAGCTTGCAAAGCGTAACGCATTAATTAAGTTGACAAAATTTAAGAACAAATCATCTAAATTATTATAATTGTATTTGGCAAAGTCTTGGTATCATTTGGTGGACTGAATTAGCTTTGGTTTGTGTTTGGTCTGAGTAACGTCGTATGTATCTATCTTTACTTGAAAGGTAAAAATTATTAGACTGAGTTGTGCATCACTAATCTATCGTAGACAAATTCGTATAGATTCGTACACTAAGTAGCAGTGTTATGTCTGATTACCTTAAGTTCTAGGCTATTGATTCTGTGCATTGGCCAAAGATGGTTCTTCTTGACTTACCAATTAATAATCAAGATAATGAATCTTTTCCATGTCTTGATCATTGGTATTTTCTTGTATTTTTGAGGCGGACCCAAAAGGTTTTTATACAATTGTCTCAGGACTACGTATACTAGCGAGTTTTGCCCGACAATTGCTTGGCAAACGAATGATCATAATGCCCCAAAGCATTATGGGCATTGGAAAGTAGAGAATTTGAAGTTTGAATATACTTATTTCAATAAAGGTAGTCACCTAAAAAGCTACAAAGCTGAGACCGACAAGGATTAGGGATAGATAAAATACATGTTTCAACCGCTTGATAACTGTTGATGGACTTGCACATCTTTTATCAGTTACAGTCTCACCGCTCCTGAGCATCCTCGAGCTGCAGTTTGTATCAAAAAAGCTTTACTTTTTGTTTGATTTGAAAAATTTCCCATGATTCTTAGTGATCTCAGCTTTCTAGATTTTTGGTGACTAGCTTTATTGAAATAAGTATATACACTGTTAGAGTGCAAACCATATTTCCGTGAAACAGTACTAATTATTGCTAAATAGCTCTAATGAAACAATCGAAAGCAAAAGAAATAGAAGTGTTAATTGCGACATTTAGTTTTCGTTTTTGCTAGTTCACGGATATATGTTTTGCACTCTAGTGTTTTATGCAAATTAGAGATGACGTTTACCGGTGGCGTGATTTTCCAATTCAGCAGCGTTTGTTCAACGAAGCTATTCGATAGACCTTTGCATAAATGCCGGTATACACTCGAAGAATCGTTGTCGGGTTCAGAAACATAGAACATAAAATCTGAGACCGAAATGGCACATGGGAAATCATTAATTATATTACAATTTATTCATTTGCGCCATCCATGCAGTCGGTTTAGAATGCCAAACGCGTATTTAAAACAGTGGATGATGCCACGGGTCGCCGGTCACAGCATGCATCTAATTAACGTACTTCCCATGTGACTTTTCGGTCTCAGCTTCTATGTTCTATGTTTCTGAATCCGACAACGATTCTTCAATTGAGTGTATGTAGAAAAGTATGAAGCCTGTTTGTGTGAAAACAAATTGTGAGGCTAAGTGCGTTTCTGCATATCATTAGTACCTTTATGCAAAGTTTCCAAGGCAACTTGTTTCGAGGATTGTTTTAAAACTGGAAATTCGAAGTAGACCTGTAGTACTTATGTGATCGTAATAAATTTCCTTTTCGTTTATTGGAATTTAATAGCGCACATGTTTACGTATCCTCTACACGAAGTTAGAACCTAAAAAATATTTTTTGATGACGGGTTGGGTATCCAGGAATCGAAACCTAGACCTTAGAAGTGAGAGGCGAATGAGTCCATTACTGCTAATCTACAGTTAGTTCCCTACTATTTCAATATATATTCTTAATATATCTTTTTGAACTAGATTAATATGAGTAAGCCAATCAAAAACACCTGCTCCTTCAAAGCCTTGAGAGCCCAGCAAAAGAAAATGGGAGTATCCAGCTTAGGATTCCCCTCGTTGAAAGACGAAATCTTATCAAATTACAAGTCGGTAACAAATCTCAAACACAAGGCAAAGCATGAGAAAGATTGGGAGGCGCAGCTTTGTTTGAGTAAAGCATATGAATATGGCGTACCAGAGCTCAACATTGAACAAGACTTAGACAGTGCAATCGCCTGCCTCGAATCTTCCATTCGAAATGGAAATGATATAGATAACGAAAAATGCCAACTTGGTACCTTGTACGACACCAGAGGCACAATTCCCGATCAAAGAAGAGCATTTGAACTCTACTTAGAGTCTGCCCGTGCGGGAATAGTACAGGCTGAGCTAAGTGTTGCAGAAGTGTATCGTTGTGGAATAGAAGGGGTTGTGCACAAAGATTTGGAAGAGGCGTTCAAGTGGTATAGAAGGGCGGCTGATGAAGAATTAGACGATCTTGATGATCAAATTAATTTACCAGCACATATTCTTAAAGGAGCTTTAAAAAGTTTTGGGATTGATTTCAAGATAGAGGCATTGAAGACACTTTACAAATATTACATGACTGATGAATGTCCTGAGGGAGAGCCTCAGCCAATCAATAATATAATATAATATGATTTATATAGCGCCTATACAAGTCGGCTCTAAGCGCTGTAAAATATATATAAATTATAATTCAAAAGCTAGTTTAAACAAATGAGTCTTAAGGTCTTTCTTAAAAGTTTTTAGACATGAAATGTTTCTAAGAGGAGACGGTAGTGAATTCCATAGAACAGGAGCAGACACAGAAAAACAACGATAACCATAAGATTTAAGATT